TTATCGATATCCTGAAATTCATAAGAATGAAGTTAATAAGCAAATTGATAAAATGCTTAAACAACGTATCATCAAGCCCTCGACCGGTCCTTGGTCTAGTCCCCTTTGGGTCGTCCCGAAAAAACTCGATGCATCCAGCGAACGGAAGTGGTGGATCGTAATAGATTACCGCAAACTAAACGAGAAAACGCTTACCCCTTGCCACATATCGAAGATATTTTAGATCAATTAGGTCACGCGCAGTATTTCACGACCCTGACGAGCGGGTTCCACCTAATCCCAATGGTCCCAAAAGATAGCTCCAAAACCGCGTTTACAACTCCCAACGGTCATTACGAGTACCTGCGAATGCCTTTCGGGTTAAAGAACGCACCCAGCTTTCAAAGGTTGATGAACAATGTCCATACTGGTTTAACGCATAATCAGTGTTTCGTTTACCTGGATGACGTTGTGATTTACGGTAATTGCCTCTCTGACCACAACAAGAAACTTAAAAACGTATTTTCACGTCTAAGAACAAACAACCTTAAACTTGGTCACGTAATTTCAGATAAAGGTCTACCACCAAATCCCGCGAAAGTCGACGCGATCAAATCAATACAGAAACCGCGTAACGTTAACTAAATCCGTACCTTTTTTGGTATGGTCAGCTATTATCGGAAATTCATAAAAGAGTTTTCTAGCATCGCGAAATCACTTACCAAACTCCTTAAAAAGGATGTTCTTCTCCTGGTCCAACGACCAAGAAGACGCGTTTCAGACACTAAAAACTAAATTGACCGAAAAACCAATCCTTCAATACCCCGATTTCACACGAGAATTCGGTTTAACCACTGATGCCTCCAATATCAGCGGTGGAGGAGTCCTTTCGCAGATCCACAATAACGCAGATCTTCCCATTTCTTATTATTCAAGAGCACTGAATTCCGTCGAAGCAAATTATTCAACCACCGAAAAGAAATTGTTGGCCATCCTAAGTTCGATGGAACATTTCACACCTTATTTGTACGGTCGAAAATTCACTATCTACACCGACCATAGACCCCTCCATTGGTTTTTTAATTGTCAAAATCCCTCTTCTCGACTCGTACTTTGCCGATTACGAATGAACGAATACGAATACGACATAAAATATAAACCAATTCCAACGCCGACGGTCTATCCCATCTTCTCCCCGATCAAAATTTGATAGGTCTTACCATGCCCCCAAGAACCCGGATATCGCGAGTTCATTAAATTCCATTATACAAACCAAGATGTAATCATTTTCAATAAAGACAACCGTCGGCTAGCGAAACTTCGCGACCCTGCATTGATCTTTTGGTCATAANAGCGGCATTTTCTACGCCAATCAAGGTGCTGCTGCTAGGGTATCCAACACGAAATTAACCCTGTTGTCTCATTTCAATATTACCTTCCTCGACGAAGCCTTTATTTCTGCCATACGCAGTACGAGAAGTCCCGAAACACCTGTAGCCTAGTCCTTAAAAACTGAAAAGATCACGTTCAAGCTACTTCATTCAAATTATTTTCAGCACTATAAGAAACTTTAACAGCTCATTTAAATCGCTCAAAGACAGAGAAAATAATCTTAACAATAACATAGAGAAAATTAAGACCCTTTCTAAAGATACTATTTCCAAAACAAACAATCTGCAACTAGAATCTGTAATTCTTCAGCATTCCACCACCTTATCTGCTTTTATAAGCACTCTTAACTCTGAAGTTGCCAATAAAATAAATTCTCTAAATCTCGCGAAACACGGAATTCTATCACCAAAACTCATAATCCCAAAAATCCTTCACGACGAATTAAGCAATTATAAAGAAGAATATGAACTTCCCTGCAAGCCTGATTATCAGAATTCTCTTTTGTACTATAAAACCATGACTTTAGATGTCATTATTGATGACAGAAAATTAATTATTTTTTGCTTTAAAGGTCCAAAAACAAAATGTCGTATAATTTGTATCACCTAATTCCCTTACCAATGCAACTGAAAAATCTGTCAATTTATTCATGCATTCAACCAACTCACCCTTACTTTTTATTGTTCCAACCAAAAACGTACTACTACCTAATGCAAGACATGACAAAGTGTAAGGAATATCTTAGTGGTTCATTCATCTGCGAGAAAATCTCGGTCAGTACGAGAACTGAGATCCCATGCTGTGAGGTCCAATTAGCCTCGTCAAGGAAATTACGACAGATTGTCCAGTTCGAAACGTGAAAGCCGAAATTCAAACATGGACACCAGTTGGCCAAAACGAATGGATATATGTTCTACAAAACCCCACGACGCTAACTATCATGTGCGCAGATCACATGATAGGGCAAGACGTCATCTTACAAAAAACGGTAACTTTAGAACTCGACAAAACGTGTAGAGGTTACACCGACGTGTATCTCCTCGAAACCACTAACGAAATAAAGAAAAACAACTATGAACATTATGTCCCGACGACTGATATCCTCGCGGACGAATGTTGTTACGAAACTAAGATTAATCTTAGTGCACTCATCCGTCTAGATCCAATCAAACTTACCAATATCGACCTATCGAAACTCAAATACGCCGATAAGAAGCTTAACAAATTCGACGAAATCCTGACGAACCAACTGAACAAACCATTTATTGTTCAGCACACTAATTGGTTCACGTTGATCATCACCGTAATCGGTTTAATGTTGCTAATGATAATAGGATTCAATCTTTGTAAATGGCTTGGATTCTTCAACTTTATGAAAAGATTTTGCTATTTCACAAGAAACCCACGAAATGGACCTTTAATGCCCCCTATGATAAAGAATTTTGTAAACTGTTCATTCGGACCAGATCATAGCATCGAATATCACAGTCCTCCGAACCAAGTGGCATTGTATGAAGCTAATAACGAACACGTGGAACTGAACCCACCGTTATACAGTGCTACTGCTCCCAGGATCCGGTTGAATCCAAAAGAAAGGAGAAGTACCGTACCGATGTGATACTATGGACATCTACGAAATCCCGAGTCAACAAACCGGTGGATTCCGTCTTCTGCGGGGGAGGTGTTGTATTACCGCGAATTGTGTGTCAATTTAATTGTGCACGTGAACTCTTGACGATTGCTGCACTGGTCGATGGACCACCCTAAAGACTATTAAGTAGGTTTAGTTGTTAGGAAATACCAATTTTAAAAGGTTTTAGAAATAGGTTCAATAGTTAAGAAAATAAGAGTAGTAATAATGTTTCAAATTTATGAGGATCATAAAAAGGGACAATTCCTTAAGAACCGTTTTTAGAGTGTTTCTATGTTCAGGCCATCTAATGGTCTCTTAAGAGTTTCGATAAGTAAAAGACGCACGCCCTTCTGGCGGCAGACGCCGTTATCCCCACTCGAGGGATAAATTCCAGGGTTCCGTAGCCCTATTTAACGTCTCTGATTTAATTCTAAAGACAGTCGTCAGAATAATTTTAAATCGTCGTTACTCTGCTCGTTTTCTACCAATTCTACAAACAAGAAATTTTGTTCTAACACATAAAGTAATTAATGTAAGTTCGTATCGCGAATCGAAGGAATAAACAAACATAATCTCTAATTTTAAGTGAAAGATTCTGTAGTGTTAATAAAATAAAAAGACTTAGTTAAGACTTTGAGTTTTACTTCGAAAACCTATGAGGAATCCAACAATCTTTTGTGGCTTATTCGAGCAATAGGGAGATCGATACCGGTAGGTAACTACTAACAACGCGGATTCGGCGTTGTAGTAGTTACAGTAAGCGAAACAGGGCTGTTAGGTATGTATCGGACATGCGATTAGGGCGATGGGCGATTTATTCGGATAGTAAATCGTCGCTGCAGGCACTTAGCAGCATGCGGAGGCCATCCCAACTCCAACGGGAGGCGTGGGATTTGCTACGCACTGCAGTTAGAAACGAGCGGGAAAATCAGCTGACAAGAGAGACATATGGAGATGATATTCTGCCGATCGAATACGGCTTGATCCCGCTCGGGACCATCAGGAAAACCTTAGGGACAGGACGTGCGCGGAGTGGCAGAGTCGTTGGCAACGATTCACTACCGGAAGGAGGACGTTCCGCCTTATAGCGCGAGTGAGTGTGAAGAAAGAAGAAGCACCAGAGGTCGACAACAGAAACCACGATCGAAACCGTTGATAAAACGGCGGAGTGGTGGAAAATATTCGACGAAGCGGCAGTCGCACTGATAAGAGTCGCGAATAAACAAAATGAGAACTGTGGAGTAAGGCTTAACTTAATAGCACATTTTATTAAATTGTTTTGAAAAAAAAATTAATTCCCGAAAATTTATAATTTTAAACTTAAAATTTATCCTTTTTTCCCCCTGTAGACCTTTTACTCTGGGGCTATTATTTGGAAATTCCAAGATTCCCTTAACAAAGGTTTTTCCCGTGTAACCCCCATAGGATTCGACAACGCTGCATTTAGAAAAAATATAAAGTCCGGCACGGTATTTATTATTTTATTTTTATTTTATTGTATTCTTGGAACAATTAAGTTCCATTTAAAGAGTTTATTCAAACTCTTATTTTGTTTTGTTTAAAATCCTAAAAGAGAATAATCTGATTAGTATTTTCTCTTGTAATCTTGGCAAGTAGCGTCTTCAACGCTAACGCCTTACCGTATATTGTAGTTAATTTAGGTATTATTTTGAAAATTAAGAACTTATGTTCAGATTTTGTTAGCACAAAACTAGATTTGCCTCCGGGTAGTTTTAACACCGAATAAGAGAGAACTCTTTGGGCCCAATAGAATCATTTTCTCATCGGTTAAAGTTAGTTTTAATTTCTTTCAATAGTTCGGCTCCTCCTGTGTTTATTCTTGGTTTATATTATTTTTAGTGTGTTTTCATAAGTTAATAGTTCTTTTTTAATAGCACTTATTTTTTGTAGTTTATAGTTCCTTTTTTAATAGTAGTTCTTAGCAGGGGTGTGGAGTCGTCGCAAAAATACGGCGACTCCGACTCCGCATCCGACTCCTAATTTTTTTTTTTTGCTTCGACTCCGACTCCTGGTTTTTTTTTGTTTTAATACGACTCCGACTCCTCAATTTCTTGTTAATTCGACTCCGACTTACTGAATTTTTTATTTAACGGAAAAATTCAAAATTCGGTACATTGAACGGTAAAACGGGCGCCATCCAGTGGTACGTATATTTACTAACGACTCGATAATACAGTTCCATGCCGGGTTCCGGGGAACCACGGCTCTGTTGGATTAAAAAAAACTTCATCTAACCGATTTCTAACCTATAAAAAACAACGAACTCTCTTTGGCATCCGTTAACAACTTTTGAACTTCGAACTTCTTCAAATACCATTACCTGATTAATTGGTTATCATATTAATCATATTAATTGGTTGTCGATACCAATCTAATCTATTCCTCTAATATTAAGTATGTGAGTATTTAATATTAACTATTTTATTCATTATTATTTATTATACGATACGCAGAAGTTTGCTAATAAAGAGACACAGTGAATTCTTTATGTTATTACGATTTAACCAATATACTTGATACTTTTATACCAATGTCGCTAATTTAGGAGATACAGGTTATTCAAGAAAGTATTTGTTTAAATTTATCGTTTGTTGATTGTAAAGGGTGGTACTTTTTTTTGTAAACTGAATTAGGGTCTGTGGAATTTATGCATCTGAAAAAGCATTAAATTTTACATAAAAATGATATTTTTATTTAGTTTATTTATTTAGCAGAGCAATGATTATGTTTCATGTATTTATCTTCATTTTTAATTTTTCCTTACTTTTCTGAATGATAAATAATAACAATAAAAATTTTCAAAATTATAAAAAGTAAATATACAAGGTCTTTCAAAACATGTATCTCGGAAAGGGTGCGTTTGTGGAACCATGTTTAATGGGAACTTTTTTTCTTACAATTAGGCAAGAAATCCCACCCTTTATTTTCCGACACGTTTTGAAACACCCTATATTAAAAATACTTTTTTGTACAGCATGTATGTCCAAAGGGCAAAGACGATAGATACATAAAGAGATCACTGCTGCTCTGTTGTCCATTAACAACGGACGCGGATCACTCTGTCTAAAGCAAAAAAGTTATAGTTATGAATGATTTTTTCCCAGTCGTTGAAATGTCACAAAAGGAAAGAGCTAAATCGGAAATATACAAATATTTCGAATTGACAGACGATAAAAAACATTATATTTGCCAAGTGACATGCATTATGGACGGCGCTAGTGGCGCTACTAGTAAGACTATTTGTGGAACAAAAATAAGCGCGTTTACCACCAATGACTCAAAAAATACTCCTACAAGAGCTTTTAATTTAAAACGCCATATAGACCGTCATCATATCAACTTATCAAAAGCGATTAATGAAAACAAAAATAACATACAAGAAGCAAAGGTTTTAAAACGATCTGGAAGTCCTCTTCAATATCCGATAGCCAAATATTTTAAAAGTGACAAAATAATAATAACAATGACACAATAAACGTTCAAAGAATGCATAATCAACATGGTTGTACAAAACTCTGTGCCTTTGTCATTCTTTGAAAGTACAGCCTTTTTGCAATTAAATAGAGAAATTGCTAAAAAACTTGATGTACAATTAGGAAGAGAAAACATAAGAACACTAATAATAAACGCAGCAAATATTAAAAAACTATCGCTTAAAAACAAATTGGAATCAAAATTAATACATTTAAAAATGGATGCATGCACTCGACAAAGGACAAATTATTTTGGTATTAACGTGCAATTCGTGGACGATAACGATAAAATATGTATAAATACAATTGCAGTTAAAGATACAAAAGCTCAACATGGTAGTGATTTTTTAAAAACACTAATAATTGACGTTTTACGTGAATATGACATTAAATTCCAACAAATTTTAAGTATTGTGACAGATAATGCTAGCAATATGAAGACGACTATTGATAAATTAAATCTAGATGAATCACTCCAAAATCATAAAAGTAACGAAGACAATGTTGATGACGAAGAAATTGTAATTGATTTAGAAACGGAATATATTGCACTTGCTAGTCAACTCAAAATAAATCACATGCGCTGTGCTGCTCATACTTTACAGCTCGCAATAAGAGATGGTTTAAAAGAGGTTCATGCAACACAATTGATTGGCAAAATACGAAATATTGTAGTAATATTACGGAATCCGAAAATTGATGGCTTACTTAAACGGAAAGCAGGGAAAGGAGCAATTATTGATCAACCTACACGATGGGGTAGTACATTTGTAATGATTAAACGTTTTTTGGAGTTGAAACCATTCATATCGGATTTGGTTCATCCTGACATTGTGTTGACCGAAGATATGGATCCAAATTATGGAATTGGAAACATTATTACGCCAACCCCACATTGTAACCGTACAATTGCAATCGGCAGATTTAACTCCAGGTGTATTTTTAAAGGAGTGGAAAAATTTAATTTTTAATCTTTCTAAAATTGAAGGATCGATAGCAGAAGGGATTAGAAGTTCTATGATTCGGAGAGAAAGTCTCCTGTTAGATAACGATATTCTTCTGGCAGCAATATATACATTGATCCTATGTATCGAATATTACTTTCAGAGGAACAGATGATAAGAGGTAGAAAATCTTTTTATACAGTTGGATTAAGAATGTTTAATAAAAACTTAGAAGATAAGAAAGTTGCTGGGTTATGTGAGTCTCAAACTATTACAGAAACAAAACAAAATCAGAGCATTATTGAAATTCTTGAAAATACAAATGATTTTGAACAATTTTTAGACGACGAAGAAAATAAAAGAAGTGAACCTCATTTAAAATCAGATTTATCTGACAATGACAATTATTCAAACAAAATTTTGAAAATGCATTAGCATTGGTGGAGAGATTTAAGAGATATAGTAAATTAACTGTAAAAGAAGCTATTCCAAAATATCCCAAAATAGTTCAAAATAGTGCATGGGTTGTAACCGCTTTGCCACCACCGCAAGTCAGTGTGGAACGGTTATTTTCCGCATTGAAAATAATAAAATCTGATCTGAGAGCATCACTCAAAGATGACATTTTAGAAGCTATACTATTTTTACGAACTAACGTTCAGTATTTATAATTAATATTTATTTTATTTTGTGTTTAAAAATATTTTATAAAAACATTACATTTAATAAATATTGTGTATCAATTAGTATTTAGTCGTGTGTAATTATGTTTGTATCATTTCTTTTGTTTGTGTTTTTATATCTTCTCTATTTATTTAAGTTAAGAAGTCGAGGTCGGAGTCGGACCAATTATAGTCGACTCCGATTCCGACTTCACATTCCTAAATTGATTAAAGACGACTCCGACTCCGACACCTCACAAATTCACAGACTCCACGACTCCGAACTCCGACTCCGACTCTGACTCCACACCCCTGGTTCTTAGTATATATCCTATCCTAGTAGTAATTGTAATACCATCCCTAGATATCAGCATTTTGTCATGTAAGTTACATTATTATCGTTATTCTCTTTTCGTGTCTTTTCTTTTTTTTTTTCTCTTTGTTTTTCTTTTTCTTGCTTAATCGTATTTGGTGATGTTAATAATATCTAATTATCACTACTTGCCATATTCAGTAAATATTATTTTTATTTTTGTTTGTTCTGTTGGGTCATTTGGCAGAGATCGCTTGTGCGATAAAATGATTCATTTGCTGATACTGCTTGCTGTTTAAGTTAAGTGTATCTTATGTAATTTTGTATTTTTATCTGTGGCAATAAATGGTAAATGGTAAATAATAAATAATAATAATTATAGTTACATCTTAATCTCTAAAACTAATTTATACTACAATATAAATTAGTTTTAGAGATTAAGAAAAATTTTTTTTGCAGTGTTATTATTCATCAGAAGTATCGCAATTGTGCGGTTTTTGGGTGTACCGACACTACTTCTACCCGGCATATGTTCCCAAATCCACAGAAGAAAGAACATTTGTTCAATGAATGGGTTTCAAGATGTGGTAATCAGAAAATATCTAATGTACCACCACAGATTGTGTCGTGTTTGTCATAATCATTTCAAGGAATGTGATCGAAGCAGCAACATGTATTTGAAACCGAACACCATACCTACTCTTCATTTGCCAATAAAAAGTATAAATTACATTAGACATCTATTGGTTGCCTGTTAATTAAAAGTAATAATATTATGGGGGAAGCTGTAAGTCAACTTCTGGAAAGCAATTACGCGCTGCAGTAACTCAGCGGTCAAAACATATCAGTTTTTGGATGGATGCAAAAGGTAATTATAACGCATTAATATATGAAACAAACTAAGATGAATATAATATGTTATGTAATATAATTTAAATGAAATTTACAAAAAATAACATAATTTACAAATTTGCAATGGTTAAAAATCCAAGTTTTAATTAACGTTTATATTTTTTTGTTTTAGAGAAAATGAGGAACATGTTTTTTCAACAGGCAAAACATGGAAAACTAATGAAAACGTTATCCCACCAAGTTTAAAAAACTTTATTTTAAATTTGGAGGGATTCATTGACCTCAGCCAATTACTATTTTCACATGGGGCGTCCTATTATTTTCCACGGTGCCTCAACCAAGACCCTCTGGAAAACTTTTTCGGTCAGGTGCGTCAGCATAGAGGTCGAAACACAAATCCCACACCAAAACATTTCACGGAAACATTTAAAAGTCTATTGATAAGAAAAATGGTTAGCACCCATTCAGTGGGTACTAACTGTGAGGAAGATTTCGAGTCTTCATTATTTCAATTAAGGGAATATACAAAAGCAGCTTCTCCACGAAATACTGTCCAGGAAGAAGTTGTAGAAAACGATAATGTCTACACAGTAATAAACAATATAGAAAAAAAGACAGATAGATTCCGCGGCAATTGGATATGTAAGTGGTTTCATCACAAAAAAATTATTGCAAACAATTTCCTGCAACTTTTGTAAACTACACATTCTCATTAACCAAAGTCTTGATGCAAATACTACAACAATACATTTATAAAAGAAAAAGAATTATATAAATATCGAAGTTTGCAATATTGTCAAGAGTCATTTATTGAAGACATAGAAAAATGTTATAGTATTACTAAGAGTATAATTCTAAATTCGCTATTTAGTAGAAATATTAAAAAAAAATATTTTTTATTTGAAAAAACATGTTCAATTTACTTTTATGTGTCAACATAAAGCCGAGATTGTAAATTTAATTTTAAACAATATTGTAATAATAACAATACACTGCCTTTGTACCGGAATAAACCGTATTATGGCTGGTAAGGATACAAGAAGGTGTGTTTTTTACTTCCCATTTGTATAAACAAGCACAACATATACACAACAGTAATAAGAATAGATTATAGAAGAAGATAGATTATCTTAAAACAAAAATAAAAAATATCTTAACCCTACACTGCTCATTGTATCAGATATCATACAAATTAGAAATTAGTCCATTATATAAAAAATGAAGCAAAAAGGGGAAAAAACCATGACTTTGGTACAATTTAAGATCGAGGTGGCAGATTGCTTGTGTAGAGCACCAGCAGAAAACCAGCGAAAACGCGGAAGACCATGTGCTACTATGCAACAGGATATTATAGCAAAGAAGAAAAGAGGACCTACATCTTATATACCACCCGTTGATATACGAACCGACAATATTGGACATTGGCCACAATATACAGAGAGCAGAATGCGCTCTAAAAATCCTACCTGTAAAAAGTTAACGTACATTAAATGTACAAAATGTGGAGTTTATTTATGTTTTAATAAAGATTCGAACTGTTTTAATGAGTTCCATATGCAATTTAATATAACAAGTTCCTATACTTGACAGTGGTGTCAACTAAACACAGATTATGTCTCACCAATTGTACTAGAGCAAGACAAAACAGAGGACGTAGTTATATTGAAGGGAAATAGAATAGTAGATATCAATTTTCTATTGACAGCTACATTAGAAATACAGTACAAACATGCAAAACAATGTACATTTGGGTTATTGAAACCACATCATGAACAACGTTTTGGGTTGCGATCTATTTTTACATTAAAGTGTTCAGCATGTGATAAATACTTCATTGTACATACAGAAAAAGAACGAAAGCCCTTCGCGACAATTAACGTACAATTTGTTTGGGGAACGCTAACCGCCGGTAGTACCTATGCGCAAATGAAGGATTTCTACACTGTATTAGACGTTCCTATAATATCATATTCTTCCTTTCACAAAATAGAGGAGTCGCTTGGGGACCACTGGAAAGATGAAGTATGGTACAGTATGGAAAAGGCAGGAAAGGAAGAACTAAGTATTGCAATTCACAAAGGGCACTTTAGTTCAGATGGAGTACCGTGGATAACCGTTCATTGTGATGGAGGATGGAGCAAACGCAGTTATGGACATTCATACAATGCTCTGTCTGGCACGGTGCGTATAATAATTACTATTACAATTGAGCTGGTAATACAATAATGTTAACAAGTATAAAGATATTGGATAACGAGGTCTTTAGAATGGCGTTTAGTCTTGAAAGAATTCGTCTTCAACGAAGAGAGAGTAATTAATCAAATAATATGTTATTACAATAGCTAAAAATTACAAAAAAGTGTTTATAGAAAAAACATCAAATAAATAGTAAAGCTTTATAAATAATTAAATGTTTTAGGCTGTTGTGATAGGAAAAGAAACGGGATTAGTACTATTTGTTGGAGTGCAAAACAAATATTGTTGTATTTGCACTAGAGCTGCCAACTTAAGACAATTTCCATCACAACATAGATGTTTTAAGAACTGGGAGGCTTCTTCTACAGGAATGGAGGCTGATATTTTAGTAGAAGCTTTTAATAACAGCATAAGTATGCATGGGGTTAAATATCTAAAAATGATCGGTGATGGCGATTCCAGCGTATACAGCAAAATTAGATCTAACGTGAGTTATGGTATGGAGGTAGATAAAATAGAATGCGTAAATCACCTGATAAAGAACTTTGGAAAAAGTTTATATAAAATAAAGACGTCTGCAACAAATGACGGGGTATCATCTCAAGCTCGAAAAATGTTGACGAATGAAAAAATTAAAAAACTTCAACAATTTATTATGTATCGAGCCAAAATTAACGAAAATGTAGAAGATCTCTAAACTGATATTGCTAATTCAATAAATCATGTTTATGGGAACCACAGTGATTGTGTTTCACATTAC